AAGGTTGCTACATCCCAACAACTATTCCAATTTTGAAATGCAAAAATGGACCCTTGGAGTGTGAATCCAAATTTATCATTCGGTATTTAAAAGCTAGTCTTTGCATGCAACACGTTATAGTGAAAACATCTTACATAAGTGGACACAGAAGAAAGTATCATGAATACAAGGCAAGGCTTGGCACAGCCACAAGGTTGCTACATCCCAACAACTATTCCAATTTTGAAACTCAAAAATGGACCCTTGGAGTGTGACATCTGACCTTCCTTGTATTCATGATACAAATTTAGGGACTTCAAAGGATGACCAAATTTAGGCATGACAAGTCAATCACCCAAGATTTACTTCATCAAACTGAACATTTTTGAAGGATGGTTCATGTGAACATCTAATCAGTTTATTGTTTTCCAGAAGTTGTTTCTACAGTTTTATTGAATTGGTCTGAGTATGTAATGTTAATCTTTTATCTAATGGGATAATACAATCCAGACCAGATGGAGAAATAATCAAAATCTAGAAAGTCTAGATGAGATATTCTGAAATTGCAAAAGCAAGTGGCAAAAGTAATCAAAATATTTTCTGCCCAAAACATGTTCTAACATAATCTAGAAACACAATACTCTTAGCATAATGTCTTAGTAATCTTGCAAAATGAATCAATTAGTTTAAAGGGTTATGTGTTGAGAATATGTGCTGTGTGTCCATGGAGACAATTTGGGGATTGATAGGGAAGAAAAGAAAAGGACTAGTTTAGATAAAATGGATATCACAATGCCATGTCTTTGAAGAATAATCTCAATTATTTTGCTGGTTATAGATTTTACACTGATTTAGAAACCTTTCAAGGACTTCTTTCATCCTTTGAAGAAGGTATCAGAAAGCCATATGATTCATGCCTTCCATCTTGCCACCAATAAGATGGAAATACATGAACGGGAACATCTTCTCTCATTGTCTCAAGGTAGCTGATTTCATCAATTAACGCCATCACAAGTAAATCAACCCTGAATTCAACACAAGAACCGACTAACCTACACTAATTCTCTACATCCTCTTCTATTACTTTCTGTCTTCAATTGATATTGAAGCAGAAATCGATCTTATCCCCAATAGATGGAACATAAAACTGATTTGAGCATGGTGACCAGATCTTTGCTACCTACTTTCTTGCGCCATTTGCAATGCTCAGATCCATCAAATCAACGAAGATCCCAGGAAAGGGGATCTGGAATCCAAATAAATCGACAAAAGATTACCTTGTAGGAGCCGTCCGGCTGCAGCTGACCCAATCGTTGCATCTCTTCCTTGAGCCGTCCTACTTCTTCCTCCACATTCATTGCTATTCCCTCTCTCTCTCTCTCTCTCTCTCCCCGTCTCCTTCGCTCTCCACCCTTAAGGAATGAATGGCCTGGGGAAACAATGTCCAGATCTCGGTGATTTTATCGCCTCAAAAGGTCTAGATCGCCTATCCCGAAGCATCAGGTGGAAAAAGAGTGCCTTTCCATTGGTTGGGAAGCTGTGTGATCTACGGTAGAAATATGGACCAATTGGAAGACGTGGTTTCCTGTTTGGTGCCTTGATCGAAACGCCCAACAGAAACAGTTTCGTAATTGGTCTGAAGATGCCTGCCTCGAACTGGGCCCGTGACATCAACCAATGGGAAGGAGTTCTTCCCCGCTTGATGTCTTGACCCACATGCAAGAGCAGCCCTTTTTGAATTTGCTAATCATAATGATTTTTTTCTTTTTTTAAATTTCAAAAGTATTTTTAATTTAAAAGCCTAATAATAATCGATGATGATTAAGATAAAATTGGTAAGTATTCTGTTTATTATTATATGATAATCATAATGGATTATGTATGCCTCACCTGCTTAAACGTGATTTGATTATCTCTTAATCTTATTTAGGCTTGCTTTAGAAGAGAAAACACGGAGATTGTTGTGTTTATGATCGAGTATTTGCAAAGTTTATGGAATCGGGTGCTATCCCTAATCTGAACCGTCCACTGATAACTGTCAATGACACCATCTTTAACGTGAACGATCCCATCATCGATGAAGCCATATCCGTGCGACAGTAATTGGAGAGGATCCGTCCTCACGTCCGCCACGTTCGCGAGACTCGCGTCAAGTCAGCGCAAAGGTCAGCGACAGGGAAGATCGCGTGTCCGATCCCAAAACAGGATTCAGTCTTCGTTTCCTTCAGGTAGACTCTAATGCTCCTTTTTTTTCCTGTGGCGTGTTTGAGAGAGGGGAAGAACCCTAAACCATGTTTGGAAGCAGACAGCCGATCTCTGATCTCTTTCTCTGTCTCCATCCATTCCCAACGAACGCCCGTTGCACTCCGATTCCTCTCTCCTATCGACACCGCATTTAGTATTCGAGTTGGATTGAAGTCGACGCAGCGTCATTCGGTTGATCGTTTAGGGTGGGTTAGGATTTGGATTGCTGATGGAGTTGTTCGCCCGGGCGAAGGTGGTGCGGCTGCGGAGCCACCACGACAAGTTCCTGGTGGCGGAGGAGGAGGGGGAGCACGTCAGCCAGGAGCGCGACGGCAGCGCGCGCGGCGCTCGGTGGACGGTGGAGCGCGTGGACGGCGCCCCCCACGCGCTCCGTCTCCGCAGTTGCCACGGCCGCTACCTTACCGCCACCGACGAACACTTCCTCCTCGGCGTCACCGGCAAGAAGGTCCGCCTGACCCTGCCTCCCCGCCTCGACTCCTCCCTCGAGTGGGAGCCCCTCCGCGAGGGCGTCCAGGTCAAGCTCAAGACCCGCTACGGCAACTTCCTCCGCGGCAACGGCGGCCTCCCCCCCTGGCGCAACTCCGTCACCCACGACGTCCCCCACCGCTCCTCCACCCAGGACTGGATTCTTTGGGACGTCCACGTCGTCGAGATCCTGCCCGATCCGCCACCGTCCTCCTCCTCGACCTCGCCGTCGTCGTCCCCCAGATTGTCCAATCTCGAGGTCGGTTGGCTTGCCTAGCCATCTAATATCTTTGTTGTGATCTAATCTTCTCGACTTGTTCTAAAAAATAACCAAATGAGATTATTCTTCAGATTTCTTCCAAACCAAAAATTGGCATTTTCTATTTATTGATTCGTGCAGAGAAATCTTTTCATGTTCTCTAATCTTCAATTTGCTTCATAGTAAAAAATATTTCCCCTTTCTATTTATTGATCAATGTGGAGCATCCATTCATGTTGCTTTCGCTTTTAGCAAAAGGGAATTCCTCCCATTCACTTCATGTGAACTAATAAACAATGGAGACAAACATAAAGAGGAAATAAGCATGATGTTCTCAAATTGCAATCGTCATTGTGTCCTTGAATTGTTTCCATTGTTTGTCTAGCTTCAGATATAAGTTCTTGGAATTGATCAGCTAAACTCATGATGTTTAGTTCTTGAAATAGTGATCCAAATGTTTCTTAAATGTGTTATTCTTAATTAACTGTCTCTTATCTTAAATGCTAACATGCTCTAAGAATGCTTTTTGGATTGTTTTAGATCCCCAATATCTTGATTTTAGATTCAATCCTTGTAACTTCTAAATTAGACTTGCTTGTTTATTGTTGTTTCATGTGTACCAGCAATTTTAGTCCATAAAGAGCTATGTGCTTGGACTCTGCAGTGTCAATGTATTGTAGTGACACAAAATGGTTTTGCCTTTTGAAACACCACTCGTGGATAAAAACTTGAATCTTCTTGCTCCTGCAGTCGTCCTCTTCTTTCTCCTCCCCACTGCATAAGGTGGAAGGCCGCAGCATCTACTACACTGTTGCAGATGATGATGGAAATGTGGATGACAGTATCGAGTGGCCTCATTTGACCTTTAACGGGACGAGCGTGCCTGAGGTGACAGAGAAGCTGAAGGAGGAAACAGACCTCGATGATATAATTGTGTGTACGAAGAACCCATTGAATCAGCACCTGATTCCTCTTCACCTGCACTTGCCACCAAACAACACCACAATGCGGCTCGTGGTGGTAGATGCCAATTCAAAAGGTGAGTTCATTGAGTTGTTAGTTTGTCTTGCTTTCACTCGATTGATCTATGCAGCATTCACAATGGATTTGCTGACTTCTCAGTTTGTTAATTAGTAATGCATTTAGCCTGCCTGTTATGGATTTAACATGTATTTTGTTTGCAATTTATTCATGAAATTGTTTTAAATCCTAGTAAAAGAGGACTTTTTGTTTCTGGTTATGGAACAAACTGATGTTTTCTTGAGTTTGATCTGGCTGTTCTACTTAGTAAGATTCATTTACCAAAAAAACATTACGTATTATGTTCTTGATGTCCTGTTAATGGTTGCATTTATGTGTTTGTCTTTGTCCTTGCCCTCTTTCTGCATACATGTCAAAAATCCAACAAAATTTAATGATCCATCAAGGTTTCATTATAAAGATTATTCTAGTTGGTACGTATCGAGATTTACCAGTTTGACCAAGTACCAATATCAAAATATACCACTATAATGGTATAATATGATTCATTTTTATTTTTTATTATTCTGTTCATTGGTACTAGGGGGTACAGGTTGGTATTCCAGTTAAGGTCTGTGTACTATCTGGTGTACTGGAATGATACTGGGCCCTGTAAGTTATTCAAGTTGGGTACCTCTCCGATATTTAAAACCTTGGATTCAATGTCATCTCTGTTTCCTTTTTTCATTAAATATAAGCATGTTTTTCTTAAAGTAACATGTCTTCTAGCATTTATTGATCTATAGTGCAACTTAGGTGCAGAGGTTTAGTAATAAGTTCTCTACTTGGAACATATTGACAGGCAAGCAATATTTTCTATCAACCAAGATGTGAAATTTATGCCATGATGTCTAGTTGCAGCAGTATCAAATTAGAATTAGGAGTCTACTTGCCTTGAAAATAAATGTGGCTATAGTGCTGTATGGCTGACCTAATTTTGAGATTGAACTCGGAATATCTTGGAAGGATCTCTTTCTTCATAAATTAGGCGGCGATAATCCTGTCTACAAGATCTGGGCTAGAATATATCGTGATGTCCTTGTTGCTTCCTCATGTATCACTTGTTACACAGTAATCTTCTTGTGTTGAGCATGAAGTTCTCAAACACATTAAAATTCATTCATTTTCCTTGTATACATAGCCATATGGTAATTTTCATTTGCTACATATTCTTTCCATATTGCACAAAGCACAAGCTTTTATGTGGCTTTTAGGTTACACCAGAGTCTAACAATCATATATGGTAGTTCTGACTGGTTTATACTTAAAATATCTCTTCATGTTGTCAAAGTTGGGTATCCATATTAGCAAAATCTGAGCTAAGGTTGAATCGAAGCCAAGATGGATGATGCTGATGGATAATACCTCAATAGGGGGAAGCAATGGACTGTCTAATTATTGAAAAGTAAATCAAGTTAACATTCAAGAGTAAGGGAAAGACAAGTGAACCATAGATGAAAGTGGAAGATATTAGGGAAAATTCATGTGTGAGGATGAACTAAAAATTAGAGTCATGTTACTAAGAGATAATGTGAGTCAAATTATATATGTAGGTGTAGGCCCACAACTTAATAACTTATATTTATCAGGATGCATGGATGTCCAACCACCATGTATGATAGTTCTTAGCAGACCGACTCAGATTTATATACTCAAAAATCTCAATATGATTGTAGGTCTCTTTGCGACTGTATTTGATTAGAATCTTGCATTTTCCTCATTGTTGCCTTGTAATTGTTTTAGGTAAATATTGCTAATTGTGCTACAAAAGGTTATGTGCTGGCTTTGACCTACTGCCTTATGTGCCATATTTACCTTTGATATTACCTACAAAAGGTTCTTGGCTTTGACCTATTACCTTTGATAATGATTTTGCTACTATACCTTTCCAGCGGCAAAGAAGTTCAACATTTAAAGGATGAAACATGAACAGTGCTGAAGATAAGCACACATTCTGCAGGTTAATCCCATTGCCATTCATCAGTAGAAGCATTCTGAATCCAATTTCCACTTGTTCTTGTTGAGCTGGAATAGATGGTGTTATTGGTGGTCTGTCGATATCCTGATGCAGAGCAACGTTGTGTATACCTGGATGAGGGGTGTTTCAGTTGTATTTGTTGAAAAAGTGTGAAGATAAAACCTCTCTTTTTTCTAACCTGTAGTCTTCTTCAACTTGGTGTAAACATTCAAGAGAATATTTGTATCCTTGCAGGATTCTAATATGATCTAAGAATTTTCTTAGATTTCATGGCAGGAGACAAGTTCTTGTTTTGTGTGAGTAAAATTGTCTACTCCAATGTGGAAGGCTCTGTTAGGTCTCAACAATATGGAGTAAGCTGAATCGAGTATCATCACTTGTTTAACTAAGAGTCATCAGTATCTTTTGATTGTTCATAACAAGATGTTGTAGACCTTTCTCAATTTCCCTTGTACCATCATAATTTTCTCTTATTTTATCCTTGATCATAATTATTCCTAACTGCTTCCTTGCACCATCAGTCTTTTTATTGTTCATAACAAAAGATTTCAAACCTTTATCTTTTCTCCTCACATTAATAGTACTATTTAATTCAGTTCAATTGAGCAATAATAAAGTCTTTCATAGTACTTTAAACTATTTTCTCTTGATAAAAGGGATCGATCAACTTGAAGAATATGTTTTTCCAACTCAAAGAATAAATATTGGCCAACAATAATTTACCTATGATTAAGTCTAAATTCCATTCAAGTAGAACAAAGCAATAATCATATCAGAATTAGAAGAGCTGCACATGCTTTATGAGGTATTTCTGCAACATTCGCACCAAGATGTTAATCCGGGGCATGTTGATGACTTCAACAAAATGGCAATCAAAACGATTTGGTGAACTCACGCTTTGTGGTCGAGGAATCAGTACGACTTAATCCACGGGTCGACGTCCGGAGTCGTCAATGTTCGAGAGCGTGTCTCTCGGTCGATCGGAGGCAGTACCGAGGCCGGGCTGGATCAGAGGTCGGGGTGATCGCATCTCCAACGTGAGATTGAGCTAGTTTGGGAGTGATCACGTCCTTGCATATAGACCCGGGTCGGGAGATTCCCGACTTGGGCCCCTCGTAGATTAAGTATGTGGTTTGTCACTTGTTTTTCCTATCCCCTGGTCAGATGCCAGTCAAGAGCTTTTATATTGGTGTCCGAGAGTCGATCGTACGCGGGTTTGATGTGACGATCGATCCCCCGAGTGGTGAGTTTGTACCTTCGTGCGACTGTCGCTCGGTATGCGTGGAACGACATCATGCGGCGCCATCCCGAGCTTTCCAGAATAGGACTTGCCGAGAGGATGCCTTCTTGTACGAGCTTCGACTCAAGCGAGAGGAAGGCGGTCCTTGTGCTGAATTTGCAGGGGTGTATTTGACGTAGCGCCTGGTCCGTATCTCGAGGGTTCGCGTTTGTGCTTACGCTAGAGGTGGATCGATCATGACGTAATCGAGATCCGAAATATCACCGGGAATGTGATTATTTTCAATGTTGAACCAATGACGAATTTCGAAGCTAAAAAAACCAATAAACCAATGTGCATGAAATGACAAATACTGCCATTTTGATCCACTACTTGGAAGCCGGAAGCCAACCTTACAGAAAACTGGATCCGAGAGTAAACCATCACAGCAATCAAATTACAGGAAAAAAATGGCTAAAAGAGGTGGTTTTTCTGAACCTCAGGCCCCGCATCAACCCAGGAGAGCTCGGAGGTGAATCGGACAACGGCGAGCACTTTCGGATGGAGGAGGAGGGGTGAGTCGGCGCCAAGACGCGCGCACGGTTCGAAGAGCCGGTGTACGCGAAACCCTATATTGAACTTCCCGTTAATCAAGACGTACGACAAAGAGAAGCGGACGTTAACCAAACCCGTCCGGTTCGAGCCGTGAGCCGTGAGCCGTAAACCGTAACCCCCGAACCCGATGCGTGAACCAACATTCTTGGGTCTGATTGATGATTTTGCGGAAGATAATTAGGTTGGCAAGAGGTCGGGTTTTTTTTCCGATCTATCCAATCCACCCAAATTCTGGTTCGAATTAGGTAATTAATCGAGTTTGGTCTAAATACGGTTAAATTCATATGTAGCATAGCTAGTGTTACTATGAAACAATAGTGGATCAATATTTTTGGGTATTTACTCGACCTGCTTAAGTCGCATTTATTTGCATATGCTTTAAATAAGGGGAAATGAATTTGAACTAAATCGGTTCGGTTTGAGATGACCTAAAATATAAACCGAATTCATAAATCGAACTTCTTGGATGACCTAATTTATAAAAAATAAACCGGATTCGTGATGACTACATCATGAATTCAAGTCATTTCATGATCTAATTTATAAGATCTAGTGGTTGTCTCGAGAATTCATGATCATACTCGACTACATCATGAATTCAAGTCATTTCATGATCTAATTTATAAGATCTAGTGGTTGTCTCGAGAATTCATGATCATACTCGACTACATCATGAATTCGAGTCGAAACTACATCAAGAACTAAAGATGCTTTGTAGCTATACTCAATCACATCATGAATTCATAATGCTTCATGATCGTCCTCGATCATATCACAAATTCGACACTTTGTGATCGTACTCGACCATATCAACGACTTGAGAATTCGATCGCATAATGAATTTGGGACGCTTTGTACTCGTATTAGGATTTGGGACAACACTTGTATTGGAGGGAAATGTATGCAAACTTGCCATAAATAAAAATTATACAAGCAACATCAAAAAATTAACTCTCTTGCAGAATCATCCATCATAAATCACACAATTGATGGATTGAACACCTTGTATTGAGATCTCATCACAGTTCCATTTTGATGGAAGATGCATCTGCTACAAATCTACAAACTTTATTTGTAGAACAAATGTACCCTATACAAGAACAATGTGATCCCTATCATGTCCCTGTAATCAATTGCCACGGCTAGAATATTCTTCTAGACTTCAGGGTAAGAATACACAACGAAAATTGCCACGGCTAAAATATTCTTCTAGACTTCAGGTAAGAATACACAACGAAAAATGCGGCTACTGCTCCAATTATTATCCCCGCCGTTGTCAGCCAAAATGCACACTGCTCGAAGTTACGACCTCGTGTAAGTAGAATGGTGAAAATGAGCTCAACATCCAGTAATCGTGCGATTACTGAAAGCATTAGCAGGCTGAGAAAACAAATCAAACAAATTTGAAACGTAGGCAGGAGTTATATACCACTTTCTCCTCAAGGTAGGATTTCAAGTTCATGCCAAATATTCCTGCAAAAGGAGCATCAAGTGGTTATGACAATAGCAACTAATTGTTTCACCTTATTTAATCAAGAATGATAAATGAAGAATAGTTTTTGTACACAACATTGTAGCCAAGACTTGCGTGCTTGCGATGCACACCACAGTGCCTAGGCATGTTTATTCGACATTATCATGCACATAAATCCTCATCCTACTTTAATGACTAAAATCAAGCACAATATTTTCACAAAAAATTTACATTCAAGAACCATAAAATTGCAGGAGTAGAAGGATGCTCCATTGGCTCAACAATGCACCAGTGAAATCTTCACACAATGTATGTTCACATGTCATTTTCAAGAACAAAGTGCTCAAAGATGTAAAACAAGTTGTAGATATATATAGATACCTGCTACTAAAGCACCAACCGAAACACAGAATGCGCCAACCTGGAGAAGTAGCTCCACTCGACTAACCTCTAGTCGACGGGAGCTGAAAAAAACAATAATTAGACTGAGAGACTAGCCAAATATTTTATTTTAGTAACAGATAAACTATTCATTACAGGCATTTATACTTTCTGGATTTTGATGGCATGACAGGAATTTATTGGCATCTTCGTAAAATTAACTTAACTTAAAATCATTACTTCAGTATCTTGAGCAACTAGACGGTAATCATTTAAAAGTTGCACTTAGTCAATTCTTCTAGCACTCGTAAAAGAACTTTTAAATAGGCTAAAATAAAAGAATACTGTTATTGAATGAAGCAAATAGAACTAGTGGATATGAACAATACATCTTAACCTAAAACAAAATGAAAATATGAAACTAGATTTTTAAACCTTAAGTTCACAGCAATTGAGTCTTCCATTTCTTTTGCAGAATCAAGAAGTCTTTCAGCTTGACCATGGCAGGATTCACATCTGGGAAATTGAAACAAACATAAACAATTAGATACCTGAAGTAATTATTTTGCCAAAAAACTTGCACAAATGTATCCATGCCTTTACATATAAAATATGACCAATTGGTGCACAGTATCTAACTATGGCAATCTTGAATGGGTTTTCTTATTAATTCTTCTATACAACCTGATATGTGCTCATATTGCAATCTAGTAAAGTATGTTAATTTAATTTAATTGATAATATATTTTGAGAACCCAAACAGGGGGACGGGGGTAAGAAATAGGTAGATACTGCCACTCACCAGTCCAGTTAGCAAATCAGGTTGACCACAATATATAGATGTTTTTTATTTCTTACCTCTACTTCTTTTGAAATTGTTCTATTCTTAACCAAGAACACACTGCTTGACCATGCTGAAGGAGGGTGTAAAGGTAAAAGAGTAGCAATTAACTTGAAATTTTATCAATGAAAAGAGGTTGCTTGTATGGAAGAACTCAAAACAATTAGGTATATTTGAAGTAGCTTTACAAATTTAGTAATAAAATGGAAGCTAAACTAACTTCAGAATCTGAAATGCTTGGGAAACAATTTGACTGAGTCTGCAACTGAATATCATCACAAACCCATATCCAAAATCTTGACATGGGACGTCAGATGGTTCATTCGGATCCAATCCAAGAGATAGCAACTAGAATGGAGTAGTAGAAGATACACATGGTAACATGATATGACATTGATAATAACCTGCTTCTTTACATAATATGTGATACAGTTAAGTAAGCGGTCCATGTATGCATATTGAATTCAGTGAATAAAAAAGTATATAGGTTTTAGCTTTGACCATTGATCTAAGTTGATTGTTTCTGTTTCCAAAACCACAGCGACAAAATGTCTTGAATAACAGTGGGAGGTAGCAGCTGGAGCCGGAGATCTACAATGATGGAAACAAATACCTAAACATGCATTTTCAATCAAAAAGGAAAATGAGGTGGTTTATTCAACTCAAGAATCATGATTTTAATTTTTTATGTGCAGGCAAGTAACTGAAAACCAAAGAGGTTTTCAATCTAAAAGTGGTTTCTGCAAGATAATCATCAAGAGATTCACTGCAGAAACAAGAACCTGATTAAAGCATAATCAACAAAGACCAAATTTCACATAAATGAAAAAAGTCATCAAATCCCAATTCTTATGAAGTTTTGGTCATTTAACAAGTTCTAATTCAACCTTATATTTAATATTTTCAAGTAGTTTGCACAAACATAATGCTCCTGTTATGGAAGAAAAAGTAAGAAATAGTTTTCAGATAATAACAGAAAGGAAAACCTCTGGATCCATACAATACCTTTGAAGATAATTCTCCAAGAGCATTTCAATTTCTTCTTCTTCTTCTACAAAAAAGTCATTGCAAACACATATCTATGTTAAGAAATATGTTAAACATGACACGTTGAAATCAAACAAGAAAGTATTTGTACCAAGATACTACAGAAAACATAAAACTAATGTGTAATCAAATAAACCAGTCATATTAAAAAGATCAATCAGGAAATACACCTCAACAAAAGAGGTGCTTAGGTGTGAAAGCCACAAAATACTTCATTTGCTTAAACATAAAGCATGGTTTGAATTGCCGGAGTAATGCAAGATGTACTGTGTTTGCATTGCCTATGTACCACAGACATGCTTTATGTAGTGTACAGCTAGCAGTGCTTACATGTACTGTGTTGACACCAACATGGATAATATCTGTGTCCATTACTTGGATTTACTTTGCAGTCTTTAGTTATACTATTCCAATCCTGGAGTATATAACAAATAGAAGTAGACCCTCTTATGATTCTCAGGGTTCTTATGAACTTTCCGGTGTTCCATATTCTCACAACACCAAAGCATAAGTCCCAAATCTTTTAAATTATTCTTCTTTTCGATGTCCCTATATCTCCAATTTGTCTTCTCTGGGAATCGCATAATTAGATATGCATCAGCAACAGATTCTCATATTTGTGTTCATGCAACAACGATGGGTAACACTTCTAATCTTGTTTTATAAGCATCAACTAAAAGAAAATCTTATGTAGCTTCTCATTTCTCTGTAACGAAAGGTCAAATGTCCTATCCTGCTTTATACTTTATGGCAAATGGCACATGGCATATTATGGTACGCTTACCTAGCATCAGTCATCTAATATGAGCTACAAAGTACTTAATTGTTCACATAATCATGGTTGTATGCACAGAAAAATGGAAGTTAGTATTTACTTTTACATACACATGTCAAAACATATTTTGCAAAATTTATTCAGGCTCATGTAGCAACTGGTACCTAATTCCAATTGGACCAATCGACTAAATGTACAAGAGTAGGGTATAAAGAAATTTCGAAAAGGAAAGAAAAATACAATAACAAATTGTATACCTTCAGCAATCTGCTTGTCTAATGGAACGGAGCATTCCATGTAACTGGTTCCACGCTGAACTGTACAGTTGCGACCCATTATACAAATGCGGCGAATTTCATGGGGATCCTCAAGAAGATCAAGCAGCATCTGTTTTAGAGCTCCCGCCTTTGAGCCCAGCTCAACCTGTAAAACATGAAAACAGTGATAAATTTAAATCATGTAGTACCAAAATATTTGAGACAGTAAAAATTATAGATATTTATTATACAATACCAAGGTCTGTTTACTAAGACGAAGCTGCTCCAACACATCAGCTGTTAATCTATTGGGCAGAACTTCAAGTAATGAAGCCACCTGGAATGTAAGAGAAAAGTATTTACTCAAGCCATTTATTTAAACATGATTACAAATGTTGATACAAAAATGTGTCACTGTGGAATACAATCATACATTATGTGGTTCAAGAAAAAGATACAATGCAAGAAGAACAAGGGTGAGAACAGACGATGTTCATTATCAAGGGATTCCATATATACAACACTTAGTTGGACATCTAATTATACATTAGTTAAAGGCTAACTGTAAATGTTTTTTTCTAGATAAATGATACATTATCATGAAACTGATGTATTGAGTTAAAGGCTAGGAGACTAGGTATCTAAATGCCCAAGATTGAATTCACATGATCCTAACCAAAGTAGTAATAACCAGTAGATGGCTAAATAGGAATCTCACAAGAGAATCATAAAAAACAAGAACTAATGAGGATCTCTGTGAACAATGTATTGCTTGTAGAGAAAAAGTTACAAGAAAAGCCCCTATAAGCTTCAGAACTGGACCTTCCTTTTGTTCTTCAGGCGACAAAATCCTCCAAAGAATGATATAAGATACTTTGTATTCTCTGTTCATGCTAAACCAAATATTACAAAGAGTACTAATCAATACCCACTATTAAGACAAAGGTACATATTAATTCCTGACCTTGAGATATATGGCAGTGGACTATCCTGTATACGAAAAGGTTTTAGTATTAAAGGATTGTTTAAACAAAAAGTGACAAGAATTTGGTTATGTAAGATGGTTTAGTGTAAGAGGAGAATTCCCATACGTATAAGCAATTGGCTATGCAAAATAGGCTCATGACGAAATGGACAGTTCGGCAAACTAAATTATCAAAGCAGTATAGAAGATCTGAAACATCTCTTCTTCAGATGTGCAGTTACTAAAGAAATAAGGGAGAGGACATTATTCTTCTATAAAATGTATAGAGTTGCTTATGAAGAGTTACTTTAGCATTTAAACAGTAGACAATGGTATGAAGTTATAAACTGATAGGACGATTGCCTTAGTAAACGTGGAAGCAACCATGGAAATTGCAAAGCTTGTTTAAATGAAAACATATGTTAGTTGGAGAAGATCAAACATGAGGGCAAGCCTTGGTACACCAGTAAGCTGCTCCTTAGCATCCCAGGTGATCAGTATTCGACTCATGGAACAACCACTCTAATTTTAAGGGTAAGACTACAAACTGTCAAACACTGATTCCCCCAATCCAGCATAACTCATGCATTTCCTTTTAGAGAAGATTAGATGAAAGAATCAATTAAAAGTCTAGTGAAGAGTCAAGAAATATGCTTTCAATTTTTTGGTCATTTTAATATGATGTATAAACCTTCTTGGTTTTTAGTCTCTAAACAACCTAGACGCTACTTCAAAATCATAATTAATTCTACAATTTGAATTGACAATACTGTTAATCAATGATTGATGCTTCGCTACCAAAATTCGAAACACATTCCATAAAAAGCTAGACAAGAAAAGGGTTAGAAGACATAATATGATATCATACCCTAAAGAAAGGGTTCTGTTTAATGCTCCAATTCCATGATGTGGTTCTTTCAATACAGAATCTTTAAGACCATAGTTCTTGGAGATAAAAGTAGTAATGTCTAAACACAAATGACATGCTATCAAAATTATTTAGGCAGTCAGTTCGAACAACAAATAAAAATATAGACAAGTGTACATAAATTTCATGACATGCATCATTCGTATCTAAGTTCAGTTCCCCTAAGAGAGTACTTTCAATAGTAGAGATAGTGAGATACAATATACTCAATATGCTTACTCACACGAGGTTCAACCTCCATTAATTTCTGCTCCAATCGTTGTATTCGAGACAATAATGCAGCTTCGACAACCTACATAAAACACAAGATTCATGGAGATGAATCCTCAAGCATGACTGGTTTCTAACATTGAAAGAAAGTGAAATAATGAAAAAAAGGGACCACAAAGACCCAACCAAGGAGGAATAGGAAGCAGCAGCAATGTGGCAGGATGGGGTAGTAGGCAAAAGAGGAAAGGACAGAGAGAGAGAGAGAACTCCAAACAAGAGCCTACACAATGATCCATGCTGGTCACTGTTTGCAGCCCCAGTGTCCCTTTAAAGAACTCCAAATACGAGCCTATTACGTTGAAGGGAGAAGAAGCAGCTCCAAGTGAATAATTTGAATTAAGGGGAAAAAATATTTTTTTTACATGAGTTAAGCTTGAGTTATTCTAGGAATAAATAATACTTCTGAGTTCTGACTGATAAACCTTATCTTCTTTCTTTTCCCTCTTTTTTTTTATTTTCTATCTTTGACTCCCTGTACTTCTTCCTTCTACCCTACCTTCCTTCTTTCTCCCAATATTTCATTTTAGCTGCCCTTTTATAGTTGAATAGGCTGAACAGAGTCAACAGATATCTCAGATCTGAATTCTAGGGTCTAGATCACCATATCATGGATCATGGAAGACTTCTTTATAGCAGTTATAGGCCTGTAGCTTCTCTACAGCAAGTGTGAACATTGATAAAGTAGGAAAATTCCAATTCAGGAAATTAAACAATAACCAGGGTAAAGCCTCAGTCTCTCGAGCTTATAAATAAATTGCTTATCTAAACACTGTAAGCCTCTGATGTTAGTACTTAGTGACATCTAAACTTTATATCACTATCCCTAGAAATCTTTGGGACTTGAAGACAACAGATAATTGAAGAAAACGGAGAGTTCAGAAACCAAATTATAAGAAACCTTTGCCAAGTAACTTTGGACAATAAAAACTCAGAATTTAGCATACATCATTATTTAAGTAAACTACATGGCATGAAATCAGAATTGTGTTTCAATATTTGTTCAGTAAAAGACGCAAATAGAAGAATTTTCAAGACCACAAATTACCTCAAGTGCAAAAGGCATGGCACAACCTACATTCATGTTTCTAGGATTCAAGCGAGGCAACAATGACTTCAGAAAGGCTTTGCCACCTTTTCTGTATTTGTCAAGAAAATAGATTACTTATCAGAGTAATAAAAAATAAAAAAAGCAAATATTCTCAATGCATCATAAGTATTTACCGGTTGTAATCAAATATAAGAACACATTCATGCATAGCAATCGCTCGTAAAGTACCAAGGTTCAACAATATAGCCTGCTCCCTTACCTACAATATATAAGAAAACATGCCATTTATTTTGAGAAAGTACCAGAAAATGCAAAACAAAAACTATTGCCACTTTATATTTTAATTGCATATAAGAAAATATTCTACATCAAAGGAACAGGCCAAGTAAAGCAATACACTACTTGGATCATTGAGAACAAGACAATGTACATCAAAAGCTTTTCATCTGCAGAACAAAAATGGAAAAAACATATAACAGTTGCACACATTTCTCATTGCTAAATTGTAGTATAGTTTCAGAGAGAGAACATTCTGAACCAGGAATTCAAAAGTAACAGTTCACTAGTAAAAATAAATAACATTGAAAAACAGATCAACAAAGATAAATGCAGATTAAATTATTTGTTTGAATGAAGATCTGTTAAGCTTAGGTGAATATAGTCATTCCTTCTAGTGAAAATCACTTAATTTCAGTCAAAAATCCTATACAACTCAATGTAGTTGCTCTGAAAATGGCAGACTCAAGACAATGTTGGTTCAGAATTTAAACTAGATCAACTATAACCAATTATTTGAATCTTGATCCAATACTGCTTTCAGTAACAGGTTGGATAAAAGTTGTATCTGTATACTGAGCTATATACCAACACGTATTGCCCGATATCACTGGAAAAAAGGAAAAAAGACTAAATACTGTCAGAATGGACCTACGGTGTCTAATACCATTCGTTGAATACACTGGTAAATACAGGTCGACATGTATTGGTCTGACTAGTGTTTGATTCCTTGACAGCAACAGCATCAAGACAAATCATTTTTTATTGTTTCTAACAAAGTTTCTTAGGTCTGCATGTAGCCCTTCTCACATCACTAATCTGAATTGACTAGCTTCATAGTGAGAGAATTTTTAGGTCTTTCTTGAACATGTAAACTAAGGGTTGGCCTAGCGCATAAGGCTTGTGCCAAAATGGATATGGGGAGGATCAATTTATGTAGCCTTACCCCTACATGCAGTGGGGCTATTTCCATGTCTGGAACCTAATCACCTAGGTCAAGAAGAAACAACCTTACCAGTGACATCAAGGCTCAACCCTCTCTCTTAAACAACTCAACACTATAAAGGCTTTCTTCATGTTATCTTTGGTTGAGTCTACTCTCAACTGTTCATGAATGCAAATGATTCTCTAGCTACCCTTAAATATTCAAATATTCTCTATCTATCCTTATATATTCCCACTCTAGCAAGGGCATGAGTGGGACTACATTCAACTGTTCTCCACCTGTAATTACTGAACATATCCAAGGTGTAAAGTAAGACAGAATGGAGTTGCACTTGGCACCTTGTCAGACACACAAAAATAACAATTAATCATGGTCAATTTAATTATTGTAAGCAATTTTTAACCATTTTTTCTCTCCTGTCAAGTCCCAACTGTTTGTGAGCTTCCTGCCATTTGTCAAGCATATCAGTAGTTCATGGTAGCTTGAATTATGTCATGTAGATATAAAAATATAGTAATTTGTTATGGAAATAAGTATAAAATACATCTTTTATAGCTTTAATGGAAATGCAAACCAATGGGTTCAAGTGTTCAACAACAAAGCTCAGATGTCTTAGAGAACACTTTAATCTTGCAAGTAGCAGCTACAAATTAATGGTCATGCTTCATATTGCAGCAAATCTAGAGACAATGTTAACAATGCATAACATCAAATATTGATGACATGAAGAGTGGGTCCAAAATATTCTAAAAGATAACTGGGATAATGGAAAAAACATGCCAAATTAGAAAGAAATAACATAGAATATCTGACTACTAAAAACATAAACATGTTAAACACACAGAAGAGACTCATATAACATCTTAACATTATGATAGCAATATATATATATACATATATATATATACATATATATATATACATATACATATATACATATATATATATACATATACATATACATATACATATACATATATATATATACATATACATATACATATATATATATATATATATATATGAAAAGCTAGTTAGAGTACAAATTTCTACATTTACCAGCAAAGAAGGCATTGAATTCATCAACCATAATGATGGGTCGACACTCCTGACATCCCTCGGGCGAAGACCTAAAGTTGTAGGAGAAAAAATTATCACATAAGAAAGACATGATGGGATCCTGAAGAAATAGACACAATAATTTATTTAAGACATAATTGCAGCCTTGAGGCATGAACTTCAATATTTTCCTAGACAAAAAAATGCTAGAAAAGTACTCAAGTATAGGATACACTAAGATGGAGAATAAAGATTGGAACACTTTGCAAAATGGAAGCATCGATTTCACAAAATCTATGACTTCCCTAGGAATCAAAATTGTTCATTATGAAGCATCAATGAGGTGAAAGAATTATTAGGATTTGTTTCTTTAATACATGAAGTTTATCATTTTGGACTTCAGAATAAGTCATTCTTGGATGCCTATAAGGGAAGTGACAAAGTCCAAATTCAACCCATTCAAAAAAATAATCATAGCTTGAAAAGCATGGCCTAAAACAAAAGTATTGTATAGTCAGTATTGTTGACAAGGAGAAGTGACAGTGGAGGAAAAAGTGTGAATGTGCATGTGCTTATGCATGAGAGAGAGAGAGAGAGAGAGAGAGAGTTTAGTACTACTTGGCACATACCACTTGACTTCAAGAGTTGTCTCCGATTGATCTTTTTCGTGTACATTGTCCCATCTGATTTTACTTCGATCACCTGAGATCCAACACCAATTAAGATTAGAAACTTCAAAAATGCATGTTCCAGATGAGTTAGGTCATCACTTTTATATTTAACTCTGTGGAACGATAATAAAAAAAAAATAATCAAATGCATTGCCTATAAGCAGGTGTGGACCAACAGAATGCAACTCAAAAGAAGAACACACAAAGGCACAAACCTCATGACATGTTAAGTAATGAAGCAAATCGTGTTTCATAAGTAATGAGATGACAGTAAAATTCTTAGAGTGGATGGCAGTCTTGTTATATAAATGACCGTGTATACATAATGTATTCACTGGATTCTAAATGACTCGCAATTCATGGTGTATTTGATGATTTTGATTACAATAAATTATATAAACAGGAACCATAATTTATCATTCAAGCAATTAAAACTAATATATTGCATCAGATGTGCTGTGAGAACCATCATCGATGTAATAAATGCAAGCAAACAAGCAATAGAAGTTAGAGCTCCAAAATTTACCTAAAAAACATTAGCGAAGGATCCATGTCAGTGATCTTCATTTAAAAATATAGAGCATATAATCCGACTTTAACTCTTCGAGATACTCCCAACCTTAAAAACAAATAGTGATGTCTGGTTTTAAGCAATTTCAAAGTGTAGAACATCAACTTGGATTTTTTTTATATCAGCAACTAATTTGGTTGCATAAATGCATCCTAGAGAAAAATACATTAATATTGTGTATGTGGCTCCTGCAAAAGAAGACTCATGCACTATAAGTGGCTACAGTATGTTAGATTGTTTCCTTGGGTACATTGATCCAGTCATATGAGATCCTATGATTCTGAACTGCCCATTGATGGCCCTAGCTTTACACACAGTTTTGACTTACCACTTCAAAACTTGATATGAAAATGGAAACTCCTATACATTAGCATGGGTACATACCGATTATCATACACGTGTAGAGGTTATACGATAGCAGTAGCATATGCATTTTTAAATTTTATATGGATAAACAAAAACATTAAACTCTTTTGGATACATACGTGCAAATTTTGTATTTGAACCACGGTAGAACTACATGCAACCGACACAGATTGTGATAGAATTTGACTTGACTAGATTTAGTGGACACAGTAGAATGTGTTTGGGCAGTTTAACTGGACGGGTTTCCAAGTAAATCATAAAACCCATTGACTTGGTGTGTTTTCTAAATCTGAACACAATAATGTCGAACACTTGTCGCAGTATGAAGTATCAACATCTTTGTCCGACAAGGAGGCATATTTGACTCGGATTTACCTCATAGACAGGCTCTTTGATGCCCAACGAGATCGAATCCGCAGAGCCCGCACTCCTCTGCGGTCGTGGCGACCCCGGACGAGCACCGATACCGACCGCGCGGCTCGAGCCGTTGTCGACGCCATCCGCCACATACTCCACGACCGCCGCGCCGTCGTCGCCACTTCGGTCATCAGCCAACGATCTCGACGGCGGCGGTATTAGTTTCCGTCTCAGCGACGGGAGCAGGGGGTTGAAGGCGGCAGCAGGGACGAGAAGCTTGGTCCTCCTTGCGCTTCTTGACGGATTCTTAGCAGGAGGGCAGCGCAGAGGAGAGTGAGAAGCAGAAGGGTGGTTCTGGCGGAGGAGACGAGGCAAATCTAGGAAAACGATGATAAGAGAAGACGATGTAGAAGAGGAGGAAGCGGCAACCGCCATGGAAGGGAGCAAGACGCATGAGAAGGAAAGAAGAAGCCGTCTTGTACTCCTCTACTCTTCCGTAGAGTTCAGGGAATCCTCGAGGATGTCGCCATCACAGTTCGCAAGGAATCTGACAGAGGAAGATGGAATGGGGGCAACGAGAGCCAGTCACTTCGGCTCCGACCTCCTCTTCCCTTGACTGCAAAATTCGTGGACGTGCATGCGACAGCAAGTCCATCCCTACGCGGCTCTCTTCCTCTGCTGGATTGATGTTTTCGGCCTTGGATCGGCCCATCGATTCTATTTGGGCTTTAGAAAGAGAGAGAGAGAGAGAGAGAGAGAGTAAACAGCTAACAGCAACTAAAGCAGTAGGATCTTGTTCGGAACTCGGAACTCCGACCTTTGTCTTCGTAAGTAGGATCTTGTTCGGAACTCGGAACTCCGACCTTTGTCTTCGTAAGTAGGATCTTGTTCGGAACTCGGAACTCGGAACTCCGACCTTTGTCTTCGTATATATCAACATACGTCTCGTTCTGCGATGTCAGATAACCCGTACCAAGTTGAGCCTATCGTTCTGCGATGTCAGATATCGAGTCGAATTAATTTGGGCATCACCAATTCTAGTAAACTTAGGTCAAAACAAATGTAGATTGAACTAATACTTCTTTGTCTAACTGCAACATAGCCAACATTAAATTGACCAATACGTTGGTAAAACAAAATTCATTGAAGATTCAGATGAAGACATATTTGGTGAACATGTCATCATCACCATCTATAGAACTACATCAGTTAAGGGCCAATACTTCAGGAGAAAAAAAGACCCCAATAGCTAACAATAGAAAGAACTTGAAGGGACTAGGGTTCATCCTCAGCCTTCACTGACTCTTCCACACTCAACAAGAAATGGCTGAGACATTTAACTTATCAATACTCACTGCATTAACAGCCGATAGGCTGCATTGTTCATCTCATATGCATACTCGTATCCGAGATTCTGTGCTCGATTCTTGAATTCTTCTGTCTCCCCCTTTGGAACTTGGATTCCGACCAACACGTTTGCACCGGTCTCACCCTACCAAAATATAGAAACCAGAAGATATAAGATATGAATATAGTGTTTCCTTTCTTAGTAACTACAGAAACAAGAAATATCCAAACCAAAAAGAAGAATTTGTTCTGATCTTTAAATACACAGTTGAACCCATGTTTTTGGACAAGTCTATCTTGGAAGAGCTATACCATTGCATGCCACAGATGTTATGCCACTATGAGATGTATAATGAAGAAAAAAAAATCCAGATGATGCGAAGTAGCATACTTGTGCTCGATAATGGAAGAGGCTGATGTTCCAACGTGGACTAAAGGAGTCCAAGAATTTCATCAGAGCACCTGGTCTCTCAGGGAAGACAAACCGGCAAAGTAATTCATCTTCAACATTTGATCGCCCTCCCATCTGAAACGAAATCAAAGTTAAAAGTGATGCATATTTATAGTAAAACAATGAATATATGCATAGGGATATAAGAGCACCTCTTATGAGATAACTTGCTAGAGATTAACAGCCAAGCTACTTAATTAGTCCCTTTCAGTATTTGTTGAGCATGGACTCTGATGTGTTGGCATTGCCCTGATACCGAATTTTGGAAACTGTTGAAACACTCTTATCTATACTCTCTTAATTAATTGACACATGACTGCCATATTTCTCATCTATACACGCTCATAGACCATAAAACACTCATATTTTAAGTCATTTTGCTTATCTCACACACCTTCAAAATCTCATATGCACTGCACTCACAAATCCACACCTTAGATAAGCCTGATAAGGATAATACTTCTTTTCAGAGATGAGAAGGGTGATTACTTCTCTGTGCATGGAACTTAAAAGTTACTCTCAAATGACTTAAATATGTGGCGGATGAAATTAACTGGTTTTCCAAATCAAAAGCAACAGAGTAGATTCCAAGAAAACAAAGGAAAGTGGAAGAGTGGGTAGGAAGAATGGAGAAAGGAAGGAAGAGAACCAAGGAGAAAAAAGAGGTAGAGAAGAGAGAGGGTAGGGACAAGAGAAAGAATCACTGATTACTACCAATATGGTGAATCAAACTTGCAATAGTTGATACAGAAAACTGAATATGAACTATGATTTGGGGAGGTCAGACACCAACTGCTTGTAGAGTTGAACAAGGTTCATGACTCTCTAAATGAGGCTATTTATTTACTATGAAAAGACATGTAGATGATGTCACTTGACATTTAAAACGCATGTAGTTGTTGCATGCACAAAGTAAACATACTTTTGTACATATCAAAATATACATTTGTATAGTTTTACATGCACATACTAAACATGCTTTGTAAATAATAAAGACACGACACAAATCTTTTACATCTTAGGGAAATTGATATCAAATGCAGAGACTTGTTAATTTACATAACAATCATGTCGAAATCACCATATGCATTTAGTGTCAAAAACAGTAACATCATATGAGAAGTTTGTCAATCAATTGCAGGCCTTAATCCCAGTATACATCTCACAAATACGCCAAAACCATGTAGCAAGATGTTACAGTAAAGATCTGGATGAAGGCATCAGGATGGACCAGATAACAACATTTGATGGAAAATCTATTAATGTCAAAAACATGTATAAATTCACAGCAAATTTAGTTGATCAATTTCTAATCTCAAATCACATGGTAGACACCAAGTATTGGCATGACAAGGTAAGATACATACAAAGTACCGTAGATGATCCTTTGCCAAGTCATCATTGGTGAGGTTAAAAGTTTTGAGTTGAGCATGTTCCATTTGATGAACCATTGCTGCAAGTTCAGAATCAGTATGAACACCAACACTGCAGTAGAAAATTGCCAAAAAACTATGATCACCAATTGTAATGATACCAAACAAGAGGAAGTTTAACATAGTAAAAGAAATTTCATAAAATGTGCATAGAAAAGGGAAAATAAGTTACAATGTGCTCTTATGTGAAGTAATCAGTTACAGGTTTGTTCATACGAGCATCAATGCAGAACTTGCCTATATAGAACAAGAGCGTTGTCTTTACGTGAATCAAATCTGTACTTAAATTCTGTAATATTCATAGGGCCAACCTGCAAGGTGATTTTATGAATCAGAATCCGAATCTCTATCTTGAAAGAAAAAGCCAACAAAATAAACCTCAAAAATACCAGTTTACAGAATTTCTTAAAACTCCCGCGCTCCTCTGGTAGAATAGTCGCCAGAACAGCCTCCCGTTTCCGGCCAACATCCGCAAGTTCAGTTACCAACCTCAGCCTGTCAAAGTTCATGTTTGCCCCACTAGTTATTGCGACGATTGTTTCATCTTTCAAGCCATAGTATCTGCAGTAGGCTTCAGCACCAGCTAGAGCAAGAGCACCAGCTGGTTCTAGTATGCTTCTTTTCTCCTCAAACATATCCTGAATTGAATATAGACTTTCCAAATCAAACATTAATATTCTTTAATTATGATATTACATTTTATAACACCAAAAATGTACGAAAACAATTTTCTACAAGAAGCTAATGATTCAAGAATTCAAAAAGCTCAAAACAACACTATTTTAAAATGTTATCACAGATGGAAAGCATTGTGAAACAATTATATGCGTCATTTCCCAAATAAGTTACCAACAGAAGTTATTTGTCAGCCATGAACATCAAAGAGCAACTACACCAACCACCTCGTTTTAGTCCTTTTTATGATCTCTCGCTATTTTGTGAACCAAAAAATACAACAAACATAGCATAACTGTCCCAGAATGTTAATCATAGAGCACTCTGCATTTAAGTAAGGTCTTTTGGACCTCTGTGTGTCTCTAAATATCATAAGATGCCTTCATCAATTCTAGCAGGCGACTGATTGACGAGAGTCGGCAGGCAAATAATAAATTATAACTAAATAGAAAAGCGTTAAAACAGACATTTAGAAAGAGCAAGAATCATGATGTTGTGACGAGAAGAAATGAGGATATAGCCAAATTATGTGTAGGAAAGATTCACCGAGTAAAGTTAAATTTTCTGAGACATATTGTTTAGTAGGAGAGGAGATACATGAATATACAAACTATAAAGCTAAAGTCGATACAATAACATAGATAGCAGCATCTACAGTGTTCTGTTACAAGGTTATCCGTAATTTTGTAATCACAGTATTGTGTTTGCACAAAATAACTTGCTAAATATTTTGTACATAGACATGAGAATAAATGGAAGTCTAGTGTCACCAAAAGTCAGAACAGAAAATGGTTATATTCTCAAAATTTTAGATCACAATAATTATGGAAAATAAGGGAAATCATTTATGGTAAGTTAGACACATGAGGTGAGTCATTTTATATTAGAGATACCAGGAACTATAGTGTTAGAGCAAGAAGACATTGCATTGTTATGGAAAGAGGAAATATGATATCACTTTGAGTTGACATTGATTTCAACCTTAATAGAACTTAACGGCAGGGGAAATCCATATGCCAGCCCCAAATAATTGGGTGAAAGACAAAATGTTCACATTCATAATATTTTGAGCTCAATAGTAAGGATCTTACATAAACCATGACAAATCCACTTTAAAATCTCCATGGTCTGAAAGCTTCAAAGGAGTCATAATTCTTAGTATTCAAATTAATGATCTTCTATTATTTGAAATAGATATTGCATCACCTCCAATTAATATTCAAATCCCCTATGCTTCTATAAAAATTGTTGTATGCAAATTAAAGAAATGATTGGATGAAATAAAAGATTATAGCATTCTTAAATGCAAGGTTCGCAATACCGTACCGGAGTTTCGATCTGGGCTCGGTACCGGTACGGTACGGTATACCGCTCGGTACACCCAGGTGTATCGAGCGGTATATTCAGGCGTGTCGAGCACTGTAGCAGTGCTACAGTGCTACAGCACTGCTACAGTGTCGGAACGGTAACATATGGTCCGCGTACCGAAAGTCTGTCGGACCGGTACGTACCGCCCATACCGGGCGATACGGACCGGTACTGCAAACCATGCTTAAATGTCTTTTCTAAGACAAACCATGACAAAAGATACATATATACAGAGCATGTGATTATCTACAAACAAACATGTCAAACCCTTGAATTACAATACTTCAATGCAGAGCCTTCCACCTGTTAAGAAGACATCAAAGAAATTTCATGGCTTTTTGTAATAGAAGGTTACATGATTCATCTCTCCTTATTGGTTTATTTAATTATTGTTAGTTGCATATCACATTAACATCACAATAATTATGCTAGAAGGACTCGTAACTACAGCTGGTATATGCCCTTTCATGGGCTGACTCAGACATCATTGGGAGGAAATCATGTGTAATATTAGCCTCAGTTTAAGTAAAACAACAAACCACATAGAAAAGGACAATGGATATAATTTCACCTTTATAGATGCACAAATAGCATCACGACTAACAAGAACCACTCCGTCGACAAGTTCCCTGCAGAGGCAAAATGTCTCTTCTCCAACCACTTTTACAGCCACACCATCCGCAAATCCTCCCACTTGTTCTAGCATAATCCTCTGCCCATGATACAGAGACAATGCCATTGCATTTGCATCAGAGGGTTCTACTCCAATGACCTTTACCTGTAGAGAATGATTGACTGAGTGAACAGCTTTCCAGAAGGATCACTGATTGGAATCAGAGAGCTCTTTAAGTCACTAATTTTATTTTGTTTTTGCTAATGGTGCATTTTGAAATGCAGTAAAAAAAGTGTAGATTCAACAGATACAATAAATTGAATTTACAGCACTTAAACAACAATACACATTTATACCTATCAAAATGTATCTCAAGAAATATATCACATTCAAACTGATATTGATGTCCATTTAACTTAAGAACCTAAGTTTCATGCAGTTGCACGGCTTACACAAAGAAACTTTACAATTTTATTACAGGACTTCTCATGCAAAAAAAGTTGCTTGGTAACTCAATTTGGAAGGGATAATTAGGAAAGCAAAAAAGAAATAGATCATGAAGCAATATAATACTAGTTTCGGGGTGTTCTTTTATAAAATTGTCATCCTTGTATACAGAAATGACAAGGGACAACCAGAGTATGAGCTATAAATGTCATTTTTACATATATATACATATATATATGCGACGCCGTCGAAATTTTTTTTACTTTTATATATATATGTATGTATATATATATATATATATGTATATATATATATATATACACATATATGTGTGTATATATATACATACATACATATATAAATGTATATATATATATATATGTATATATATATATATATACATATATATATATATATATATGTATATGTATATCATATGTATATCATATGTATATATATATATACATATATATATATATGTATATGTATATATATATATGATGCTAAAAGGAAAATTACATCTTTAATTGTTAACCACCAATAAGTGCTTCCAATAAACTTGGGGCAAAATGAAATGAAGGATAAGAGCAGATACTGCCATGAACAAACCTCTGGGCGAACCCGTTTTACATAAGCAGCAATCCCTGCTATTAATCCACCACCTCCAACTGGTACAAAGATTGCATGCAATGGACCACTCAGCTGGCGAATAATTTCCATACCAATAGTTCCTTGACCTGTAATAACATCTGGATGATCAAAAGGTGGCACAAATGTGCGACCCTCCTGCTCTCCACATTGTTTAGCGTATGACTGTGCTTCATCATATGAGTCCCCCTTAAGGATAACTGTCGCACCTAACCTCTCAACCGATCGCCACTGAAATTATATTGTCAAGGTAAGAAAACAAGGGAATGAGCGCATAAAGCATGATTCTTTTTTCTTAACTGAATAAACATTGTCAAAAAAGTGATTGTTTCAGACACTTAGGAACCTTGATTTCTGGTGTTGTCACTGGCATTACAATCACTGCATCACAACCTAGCCTCTGAGCAGCTAAAGCAACTCCTTGGGCATGGTTTCCAGCAGATGAGCATATAACACCCCTGTCCAACTGCTCCTTTGTAAGCTTAGCCATCATATTGTAAGCTCCTCGCAACTTGAAGGAGAACACCTGCATACTAGATCACTAATAGTCACTAGCAAGAAACTAAAATATTGATTACATATCATCACAAATACATCAAACTAACCAAAAAAAAAAAACAAGTGTATAATTCGAATCTTTCTAAGGTTGATTTAGATTTTGAAAACGATCAACTGAAAAATTTTTGCATGATATGATGCAGGTTTATTCGGATAGAGCTTAACTCATGTATCTTTAGCAGCAGTAATTGCAATGTCGTCTTCCTTGTAGTGTGCATGCATCAATTTCACTATGTAATAATTTGGCAATCACTGTCAGGAGAGATTGGTTAAGTTAGCTCTTTTAATTGCTCCCTATCCCTGTATTTAGTTTCTTTCTTAGAAATGAAAAATGGACTTTTTTGGCGTTTGTTGGAAAAAGGAAGAGTAGAGTTCTTTTGCATCATATAACAATGCGTTACTAGTTAATGTGAAACTAAAAGAGTTACATTATCTAGTGAAAAACACAAGAAACATTTCTTCTCTGAATTTTTCCCACAAAAAAGAGCTATAGGTGCAAAAATTAACTTGATATATGTGCCCTTAGACGAAACGTATGTCGCACGATTTCCCAAACCCGCACAAGGGGAGGAATGTTGAAGACTTCAATGCATTAACCACAATAACAGCGCAAATGCAAGACATAAAATGGAAAAGCAAGCATCTCTTTAAGAAATTTTGATCAAATAAAATAAGATTTCCACGACAATTACCGGTTGCAAGTCCTCTCTCTTTAGCCAGAGATCGACCCCAAGCCTCGCCGACAGCTTCGGCGCTAGCTGCAGCGGCGACTCAATCGCCACATCATAAACCCGCGAGGAAAGAATGTTGGTCAGGTACTCCATCGGATTCAAAGCCCCGTTTTGAACTTCGTCGGCCGCCTCCGCCGGTGACGGCTTGGTCTTCTCCGAGATGCCTCCGAGATAACCGCTCTCGTACTGCAGCGAATCCACTGAGACCCTCTTGAGCATCAAGGTGGTGGAAGTGGGGGCGGCAGTCAGGGCCGCGGGAGAGAATGAGGAGGAGGAGGATACAGCGGCGGGAGCCAGGAGAGGGCCTGTTCGACCGCCGGCGAGGGGCTTCGGGGACTGGTAGTGGAGGCGGAAGGATGTGTCACGGGGAGCAATGCTGTCCGGGGCCCGCTGCCGGACCGGCGGCAGGTGAGAAGGGCGGGCGAGGGCGAGGGCGAGGGAGGCCATGGGCATGGGTTGCGGGTGGCGGGCGGAGCGTTTGGGTTGGGGCGCACCTCATAGACGTTTCATTCGATCACGTTTTTGGGGGATTTAATTGCAGGAAGTTTCTCATCTTTTTCTTTTTGAGAACATCCTCTTCCGGATTGGCAATAAATACATCCTACGTGGGCCACAACTGCCTTCGATCCAATGGAAAAGAAGGTACAATAATATGTAGCCTCAAATGGGAGGAATTAGTACTGCGCAATTTGATTCAACCCATGGCGGAAAGGATCCGCTGCAAAATCTATTTGGAAAAGTCATCTTGCATCTCCAAAAGATGGATGATAAGATCTGTATCGAGCGGATGTAGACATCAGGTGTCAAACCCGTCAACCTTGGCGACGTTGACTTCAAAGCTGTCCTACTACTAAGTGGCATGTTTTAAGTATGTTAGAAAAGTGTTTTCTAAAGACAAAAGTGTTTGTATGTTAAATGGAGAGAAAAGGTAAAGGTATGAAGTCGATTACAGGCTCTAAAAGACTATTATCTCAATTATATAGTTATATAGTTAGAGATATTGGAGTTCAATTAAAGTGTTTTGATACAGTCAAAAAAGCTCACATGCATATAGAAAATATAATAGGGTTGCTAATTGGATAGCAATTTTTTTGTCTTCTACTTCCTCATGGCACCTCCAGAATTTTGCAGTCATGATAGATCCCATGGATGAATTGACTTGCTAAGCATCGTCTACCCCTCTACATGCGGTCTAACCTAGCGATTAAGTTTGGTGTGGCCCAATGATCATGTTTGACTTAGTGTAACGATGACAAAAAATATGAGACCACGCATGATGTACCCATGAGATCAGGCGCGGGCTAACTCAATACTCGTAACGTAGCTCATCGATTAGGTATTGCTCAGCCCAACAATTATGTTTCGTTCAACCCATCGATCTGCTTATTGATAATTATGTATGTTATTTAAATGTATTATATATATGATAAATATATAATATTATATGTGAGAATACTTATCATTTATGTATATTTAGACTATGCATGAATATGTACATTGCCTTCTAAAGATTAATTAGATATTGATAATTATATATGCTATCTTGATTTGTTGAAGGTGAGAGTGGAGAGCTCGAAGCTCATCAAGCTTTTCCCAATCTACATGATAATTTAATATTAATATTAAAATAAGTTAGACTCTAATCTATATAATAATCAAAATGATATCTCGGATGTAGTAAAATAATGTACCATGAATCTATATAAGAAAGAAGCTAGACTTTATCAAATGACGTTGAAAGCAATGGCAAGATAAAAAAATATGAAAGTCTTGGAATGGCAGTGTAAGAATAAGCTATGGAACAAACAAAGCAAGTGCTAACGTGAGCTCGGGTTGAGGGCTTTAAACCCTTCTTTCTTTCTTTCCCGTTAACTTTAGCCTTAACCACGTAGTGTTTGCCTTTCTTTCTATGAGCTTTAACCCCATTCTATGGGCTAAAATTTAGCTGTCGTTCGTATAGATAAGTAAGGGCTTTCAAACGAACAAGGAAATAAGAATTAGAATAAATAAGTTGTTTGATTATATGATCATATCTAATTAAGATATATTATGGATATGATTGAATTTTGATTATAGTTAACAGTCAATAGATTGGAACTCTCCTAATTATTTCTCTGGATATAACCTTGATGGGAGGGACTCTCCTAATTATTTATCCTACATCCTCTTCTCTCACCTATAAATAGACAAGAACTCATTAACCACATAATACATAATACACAATACACAATAATTAAATATGCATATATACGAATATGCGGATACACAAATGTATAAATATATGACATGATTAAGAGATTATAGATTTTCTCTCATCTCGCTTTAGTCACGTGAACTAATTAATAAGAGATTATAGATCTTCTCTCATATCTCATTTGTCCTTAAAATTCATCGTTTATGGTGGTCATGTGTAAGATAAGAATAGAGGAGAAGACGAGTCTAATTCTCCTTATAGATCAACATCACTACATATTTCGGATCTAACGATCATGTACTTACATATCAGATAAAGGCTTTCTGAGCAGCATCGAAAGGTACACATCGTAAAATTAAAAATCTATTGTTATTTGATTTTAGTTTTTAGCATTAAAGTTTTTTTATAAAATAATAACATATTATGATTTTTGTGTCTTACAATTGGTATCAGAATCATGGTTTTGAAATAAAATATTTTAGATTTATTTATTAGCACATTTTGCTCATGAAAAGGTATTAATCGATTTTTATTTATGATGCATGAACGATTCGTCGGTATTGCTAATCTGCTTTTTTATCCAATCCATCATATTCCTTGCTTGCAAGCAATGTAAGGTTCATCGTGCCTAATCGATAAACCATTGTCGATAGCAAGTTATTGATAATAGTATCATTGAGGATGGCAGCCTCTAGTGGTCGCTCGCCCAGTTGCAGGTAGCGACTGCATAGTGCCATTGCCCGTGATGACTATGGTGGCTACGCAACGCCATTGTGTGCAGTGGTTATAGTAACGCTAGTGCAATAGCATTTGCTGGCCACAAGCTGAGCGCAGGAAACAACCGTGCCTCACAAAGTGGTCGTGGATGACGGTTACAGCGCCTCCCACAAAGGTCGTGGATGATAGTTGCTGCGGCTCGCGTAGGCAACGACCATGCATGATGGCAATCGTGCCTCCTATAGAGGCCATAGATGGTGGTTGTGACGCCTTACGCAAGCGACAATCGCACATGGTGACGGTCAAACCCCACGCATGACGGTGGTCGTGCCTCACGCAATGGTATAGAAAGGGAGAGAACTAGGTTTTTTTTTACTAAAGGTATAGTTTTACCTCTCATAAATAAGATAATTTCAATCTATGTTCATATATTTACTTTTCCATTATACCCTTAAGAATTATTTTTTATTGTATATCCTAAGTCAAAATTATAGTTTTACCCTTTAGAATTATTTTTTTTATTTATATCCTCAATTATAAAGTTGACTAATTTGATTTATTTTAATCAAATACTTTGATTATAACTGTATTTTTATTACTTAATTAGATTTAGATTTATATTTGATCAATTAAGAAATATAAGAAAAATTAATTTTTAATCAATCTTTGATTTTGATCGATTTTAATTTTTGACTGACATAATTAGGTTGATATTTAGCCCAAATTGAGAGTGTCTAATTAAATATAATTGATTAGTATATGAGTTCCATGTGAAATTAAAAAAATTATAAATTATGATTTCCTTTAATAGTTTTCTCATATTGCTTATTGATTTACATTTTGTATATGATAAATAAAAAACTAATTATTATTCTTGATATTTATTAAGTTATTCACATGTATAAGTTTGAAATTATGAAATAATATTTATTTTCATATAAAAGCATGATTTATGTTTCATCACGATTATAATTTTCATGTGAGTTTTTTCTTTATGTTGATTAATGTTCAATTGTTATGATTACTCTTTTTGATGAATATTATTTGTAACTTATATGTCTAAGTTTTATCTGATCGGTAGCTATTGAAGTGACCTAAGATAATAGACTTATGGGATATAATTTACAATAAATATCTGATTATTTATAGAATATTTTAAATTATATTTATATTATTGTATTAGTCTTATAGTTACTAAAGTGGCCTAGACTAATAACTTATAATATTACTGTTAGTGTAAACAACTTTTTAGTCGTGACCTCGGGGCCGACGCGGCTTGGTTCGGGTCCGGATGATGGGTCGTCGGTTCCTTCGCGAGGAGGTTCCTTGCCAACGCGCCCGGAGAGAAGCGCCTCGCCTTCGTTCCTGCACACAGGTCGGGACGGGAGTACTCGACTCGACCCCTCCGACGATCAAGTCAGTCAGCAATCGTAGTGGGGTTGTTTTCTCTGTTTCTTCTTCCCCTTCCATTTAGAATGCAAGGGTATTTATAAGGGGGGTTCAGTGTTACCTGATGCGCCTGCCCGCAAGGGGTAAGATCGTACCTTCTGATGACGTTTGATATTGCTATCGGCGTAGCGTGTGGAACCGAACCTGTGCGGTCGTTAGTTGGCCTTGGTTGGTGTTTTGACCCATGTCAGTCACGCGGTGTCGGACCAACAGGGGAGCGGGACGTCAGCGGGTGTCATGCAAGTCTTATCGTAATTATTACCCTCATCAATTACATTAAGAAATTAATCATAAATGATATTGAAAAAATAATATTCACATGGCACACATAATTAAAAAATTTAGATAATCTTAAAAAATAATATATTTCGAATAATTATGTGATGGGTAAGATGATGTTATTTTATATATCCTTGTAGTTTAGAGTTATATATCCAAATATAGTAATATTATTTTGTGAGGATGGTATCAGTCTTCCGTAAATAAATTTGTGTGAACAATAGAGATGTTAATATTTTATGCAAAGGTGAAATAAAAATAATATCAATAGTTCAAAATTTATTTAAAATTTTAAAAAATTAATATTATATTATAATGGTACTTCTTTCATTGTATTTTGATAAATGTTCATATATTTTTTGTATTAAATTGTTATAAATAGCTTAAGCATATACAATTTACATGTTAGACCTTGATCAAATTAGTTAAAAAGATTATAAACTTAATTGCTAAAGGTTTTGTAAAACAAATAATTGTGATAACTGATTGAGAAAGATCTAAATGATTCAGTTTTATGATAATTGTTAATAATATTTAGATTTCATTATAGTTTACAAATAACATACTAAAATATTTAAAAATAAATTTAAATTTATTGACAAGTCATTAACTAACATCTTAACTAAAGAACTGACTGAAATTAAATATAATAGTATTTGAGTAATTTAATATTATATCCTTAATATTGGTGACAAAACTGTAAGCTCAAGAACATTGAGCATGAATATCGTTGAGTACTTTCTCATATGATTTATTCTTAATTCTATTTTTTTTCTTTGTTTGGCTTATTTTAAATTCACTATATTAAAATAAGATTAAAAAAATATTCATAATATTTTAGATGTAACAAAAAAAAAGCATAAATCACCTTAATTTATAAATACTATATAA